CTTTCGTTCGTATTGTACCACGTCACTGAAGGAGGAGGTACTCACGTGGGCAGCGTGCGAGAAGGCCATAAGACGATTCAAAAAGGGCAAGGCGGTCGGCTCGGACCTACTCGACGGATACCTACTGCGCATAGCAACGGAGGACATTCAAAGAGACTACTGGCGTCTGCTGGTAGAGATTGTCGAGACAGAAGCGTATCCGAGGGAATGGAATGACTGGATTGCGATGCTAGCGATGAAGCCGGGGGAGGACCCGAAGGAGCTCGAACGAAGGCGCGACCTCTGGGTCCAGCCACAGTCGTTAAAAGGTCTCATGCGCATGCTCCTACCCGAATACGATAGAGCGTGCGCGAGAGTAGTCCCCGGATCGCAATGCGGCTTCACAGCCGGGAAGAACGCGCCAGCGCAGACACTCACCGCGCGCCTGCACGCAGAAGAGTGCATGATAGAGAGAAAGATGTGCGTGAGGGGATACATCGATCTCGGGACCTACTTTATGAGTGTAGTACACGAAGTGCAATGGAAGGTGGAACAATGGGCAGGGGTACCGCCCGACGTGACAGCTGTGATGAGGGCGCTAAGGGAAGGACTTGGGGAGGAGCTACCCTCCCTCCAAGGTAGATACGAGACGGGCTATGGACTGAGCGACCGATTTCCCATCGAGCAAGGCCTCGGCCAAGGGTGCCTCCTTTCGCCCGCACGTAGCAAGCTCATGCTGGCCGTGATGCAGCGAACAGTCAGTAAGCTGTGTAGAGGATTTGATTTCACAGCGGCGGGTGAGAGCGTGCCGCAGCTAGTGTACGCCGACGACGGCCTGTTCCTCAGCAACGACATAGCCACGATGCAGCTCGCGCTAGAGTGCGCCTGGTTAGTGACAAAGATCTGTGGCAACAGCCTCCAGGTCAAAAAGAAGAAGAAATCGGCGTGGTCAGCGACATACTGGGAGAACAACGAAGAGCGGGATGTCGAGGGCTACGAAATGAGGATGCCGGATGGCATGCCGATACCACAGCTGAAGGGAGACGAGAGATACAAATACCTCGGAACGGAGCTAAGGACCGGGTGGGCAAACGGCGAGGGCCAGACGGAAATGAGGGAGCGGTGCGTAGCGGACTGCAAGAGAGTAATCTGGATCATAGGCAACCTACCGCACTTGACAGGAGAGCAGATCCGACGCAACATGGCGCTAGCACTGAGCGGCATTATCGGCTACTACGGCCGGTCCACGGTCATCACATGGGAAGACTGCCAGAGCATCGAACAAGTGAGGGCGAGCGCCCTAAACGCAAAAGGGTACTCGGTAGGAATCCCGCGACTACAAATTTACGACGTGAAGGAGAGAGGAGGGATGGGAATGGAACACGCGTACACGTACGCAGCGGCGGCGCTGATCGATCAAGTGGACCGGGCCCTGCTGCGCCATCTCCACTTGTCCTCTCCTCTCCTCCCACCTCACAGAAAACTGCGGCCGCCAGCGACTGAGCGTCTCGCTGGCGGACGGGGAGAGGAACACAAAGGGACGTCCGGACGTCCATCCACTGGGATGAGAATACTGGAGATCTGAGGTCGAATCTGCCGATTCCACAGCCGCCCACAGGAGCGCCGCCTCAACACGGGGTCTCGGCTCTATCGAGCCATGCTAGCTCCAGCCGCAGCCCCACCCGGCCGCCCGAGGGTGTTCCCGCAGGCAGAGAAGACCAATCCTGGGGGAAGTAACCACCCTCGACACCCCTCGACACCCCTCGACACGGTCAAGCATGGTTTCAGCCTCGACAGGCCTCAACAGGCCTCGACAGGCCTCGACAGGCCTCGACAGGCCTCGACAGGCCTCGACACCTCTATCCCTCGACAGCAGCTCGACAGCAGCTCGACACCCTCGACACCGGGCCTCGACACCTCGACACCAGGGCTCAGATCAACGGATTATGCTCGCCGGGCCTCTTTCTTTATTTGTGGCTGGCACCACGCTGTCGCGAAACTCTGCAAAATCCAAAAATTAAAAGGAAAGAAAGTTTTTACTCCCAGACTGCACTCCAAGCGCTCCAAGTGCTCCAGAGAGTTTTGACGCGACCACACAAGTGCACACCTATTTGATATGCACGGCTCTGTCCGTCTCGCCGCAGGCGAGGCCGCGCCCGCTCTGCAGCGTCTCGACCGAATGCAGCAGCGTCGTCGATACCTGCGTCACGAGCTCGTCGCCGCTCAGCTCCGCCGCCTCCGGGAAGAGCCCCGCTACGTCGAGGAGCATCCGGTTCGCCGCGGGCTGACTCGCCGCGCCTGCGGCGGCCGCGCGCGCTCGGAGCTTCGCGACGTCGAACCAGCGCGCAGCCCCGATCTGCGCGGGGGCGGGGCGGCCGGAGGGGGAAAGCCTTCAACAAAGCACAAAGGGGGGCAGAGGGTGCGGAGGGGCGGCGGCCGTGGCGCCTCGTTCGGGTCGATGTGAGTCGCCTCGGCCTGCGCGCGGACGGCGTAGACGGAAAAGTGGTTGTTGACGCGCTCGTCGAAGGCGCGCGCATTCTGCCACCCGCCGAGGTAGAGCGGCGAGAAGTCGCTGTCGACGCGGCAGCCAACCTCCTCGCGCAGCTCGCGCCGCAGCGCCTGCAGCACGCCCTCGCTCGCATCCACAGCGCCCGTCGGCATCTTCCAGCAGCCATACTCCCACACCAGCAGGACCCGCGTCTCGTCGGGCGACAGGACGAGCGCGCCGACGCCCTCGGTCGCCGTCGCGTACGGCGGAACCTTGTCTGGGTAGTCGGGACGGTCGGGCCAGCGGTAGTAGACAAACTCGGCCTCTGCCGCCGCCTCCGTCCGGTGGTGGTGAAAGC